ATGCAACTGGGAAATTCTATCTTTCAGTCACTTGACTCTTCGTCCAAGGTCATCACCATCTGCTATTGAAACACAAAAAGAATTAGTAGAAAACATCAATTAAATAACAAAATCAGGATTTAAGTCAGTAGTTCAATATATTTGCTGTTTAATCAAGGACGTGAATTTATTTACCAAAATTAATCTTTGTCTTAAACAGCAAGAATCATTAGGCAATAAAGACTTTTTTTTAAAGGAAATAAACTTAACATTTTAATAGGTTTTTATCATGTTAAAATATGGACAAAATTTTAGCTCAAATCAGTATAGTCAAATTAGGAAAATAGCCTGAAATATCCTTGAATTAATCATTTAACATTTTTATAGTCAGTCCAGTACATATAAATCTCTTTTTAAATTGTTTTAGCATTTTTTATATCATCTGGTTAGATAATGGTGTAAAATTTTTTTATTTAGAAAAATAGTTTTATCATTAAAATCTAGAATAGAAAGACCTTATTTTACCCAAAGATGTTTTTTTTCTTTCCTTTTAGGATCTCCAATGTGAGCTTCTTCTCTGTTGAAGCTTCCTTTTTTGTAGAATTTTTTTTTTTTTAGTCATACTTTGGAACAATTTCTGAAAGCCTTAGAATTTATGAACAAATTATTATACTTTGATAAGAAATATCAATGAAAATAGTTAAAATCCTTATATATTTCTGCAGGCAGAATTATTTTTGTTTATTATCTTATGTTTGTACAATAACTTGAGAATTAGAAACTACTTGAAGATTGTATTTTTACTTAAAAGCAAATTTATAGTAAAATACACTTATCTCAAATATCTGTAACTAAAAGGCAGAGTATTAGATAAATGTATGCACAAAACGTATAAATTATGGGTTTTCTGTTGAAGAAAAACAATTAGACAAATATATTAACTAAACAATTAGACATGTGCTAATTATTTTATAGATTAATAACTAAAGGTTAACTAAATATCTAAAAAATATATGACATAACATAATTGTATTAACTTTATGTAACCATGTGGTTCTTAAAATATTTGGATCCATTTTAATTTATCTTTAACTAGGAGTGCACTCTCCTATGTGACATCACTTGATGTAACTGAAATAAGATCCATATGAATACCTATTTATTTCTTGTAATTACATCGTCAGGAATGGGAATAAGGATTTTTTGCTCATCACAGGAACATTGCCGGCTTTGGTTCCTGTGGCGAGCAAATGCATCCCATAACCTCCAAAATTAAAAGTAAAATACAAACAAGCATGTATGACATCTCTCATCAATAGAACAGTATTTAGAACACAGTTATAGAGAAAAGTCAGGTTATTTAACTCAGAACTAACTTAAATTTAGGGCTGCAACATAGAAACCTGTGGAATTAAATTTTGTCTGAAAAAAATATCTTTCGTTAGCATTTACAGGTGAGCGTTCTGAAAAATGCAGGCTCTGACCAGCTCCAGAAGCAATCTGAAACAGGAAGTACAGGTTAGTCTAAAAGGCAGGGCCAGAAGTCCTGTCTGAATGACAATGGGCCCTTATTTGCATTTTATTTAGAGACAGAGTGGACACTAGCTCTCTTTTTAGCTGTGACAGAGTTGCTTAGTGCCTCTCTGAGGCAGGAGGATTGAGAGTTCAAAGCCAACCTCAGCAACACAGGACTGGTGTTGATTAAAGGTCCCACGGGATTGGTATAGATCAAAACGGCCTTCCTAGGTGGATCTAGACCAAGTTGTCTTCACAGGGCTGGGACCACATGACCTCTCCCAGGATCCTTATTTTGAAGTCCTAACCCAAGTAGCTCAGAATGTGCCCCTGTTTGGAGACAGGGTCTGGGCAGGGATTACTAAGTTCAGTGAGACCATCAGGGTGGCCCTAATCAGATGTGGGCAGTGTCCTTACAGCAGAGGAACTCGAGCCACAGACTCCCAGAAGTGTCACTTTGAGGACACGGGGAGGGAGGCCTCAGCGGGCAGCAGCCCTGACCACACTGGCCATGAACTCAGGCCCCCACAAACGTGAGTGCTGCAAGTCCCCTGGCTGCACGGTGGCCTGGCAGCTGCTGCAAACTCATGCAGTCGGATAAAAGTTGTAGATGAAAGTCGGTCACTCAGCTTCCTGTCCCTCTGGTGTGATTTTGGACACACCTACATGAGGTCTGCTAGAATCCCATCTCTGGGACAGGACAGAGGAGCAGGTGCCTCTGGGAGGCCAGCTTATAAGATGACATGAGGACCTGCCCCAGCGTCTCCAGGTCACTGTCCAGCTCTGCCCAGCCTGCTGCTTCTCCCACCCTCTTCACAAAGACCACCCTGAGCCCCTGAGCTGCCACTGCAGAGCCTTCTCAGTATGCACCACGAGGCCATCTGACACCCTTGACACCTCTAGTCTCTCTGCCAGCCCTCCCCTCCCCCCTGCTCCTCCCCTTTTCCTGATATTCCCAAGCAGAGGGGAGTCCCCACCAGCAGGGAGAAGTTGGCTCTTCCCAAGCCCTGTGACAGGGTGAGGCTGAGATGCTGAGGCTGACTTGAGCTTGTGATCCTCCTGCCTCAGCCTCCTGAGATGCTGGGAATATGGCCATGCACCACCTGGATGCGGGGCTGTGCCTTCTAGTACAGTGCAAGGTCCAGGGAGCTCCGGGGAGCTCAGGGGAGCCAGCAGCAGAGACCCAGAGTTAAAACGCCTCTCCTGGCCAAGACAAGCTAACTGCAAACACACCCCAGGAGAGATCACCAAGTACATGAGAATAACTCTTCTCCCCCTAGGAGTTACGTCTTTGGGAAAGAAAACAATGTGCCCTACTACAAAATGCAGAAGTCATTCCATCTAAACTACCCCTTATCCAAGGGTCCCTTGTTCTAGTCGTTCACTGGACTTCAGCATTTGTTATGCCTGGGCTCTTAGGTAACTTTGCCCAATTTTGACAAAGACTATTTGTTTTTTTGCCTGAGAGTATGTTCTATGTCAATATAAAGAAAGGAATTCACACAATTGTTTGTGTGCCTCCAGGAGGAAAAATGCAGACATTCTCATTACAATCCTGTTACACATCTAGGGATGACTGTAAGGAAGCTGTGGAGCTATTTAGCCAGCTCCTTGTTGACTTGGAGTGCAGAAGGATTTTAGAGGATGCTCCTGCCAGGTGTGGTGGCACATGCCTGTAATCCCAGTGGCTCAGGAGGCTGGAACAGGGGGATTGTAGGTTCACAGCAGCCTCGGCCACTTAGAGAGGCTGTGAGCAACCTACGGGGAGACCCTGTCTCAAAGTAAAAATTTGAAAATTTAGAGGTGACATGATTATGTCACTCAGTGAATCACATTTGTCTCTGTGGTGCAGGTTTCACCAAAGCCACTCCCTCCACTGAGGTTGCAGGGAGGGTCAGGAGACCAGCTCCGCAGCCCAGGGCTGGGCGTCATCTCAGCAGCTTTGCCAGCTGCTCCGTGAACAGGAGGCACATTCGGGTCATGGGAAAGGACCTGTCCTGGGGTCCAGTCCAGGATCTGTGGGGACTGTGTACTTTTATTCCAGGTGTCGGGGAAAGCCCTCCCCTGCCTGGCACACTGGGGTGAGCTGGTTTGCAGATTTTCTTTATTGAATTTCTAATCCCCGAGTGTCTCCTGGGTAAGGGTGGAACAGTGCCATCTCAAGGTCTTCCCTTGACAGGGCTTTTCTGAGCCATGCCCCTCCAAGGGGCCCTGTGATCCCGGCACTGCAAGATCTGCCAGACACAGTGCTGTCCGCTTGGCTGGGGCACCCTCAGCACACACTGCCATCCTGGGCAGGACCAAGGCAGACCCCCAGGAGAAGGGCTGGGCTGACGGCAGCCCACATGGAGACTGCTCACCTGGGCTGGGGCACAGACAGCCCTGATGGCTTTGGGGGTGTCCAAAGGCCAAGGGGACTTTGGGTTGTCCTGTTTGCCTCTTTGGAACCTCCCTCCACACTGGAGACTGCCCTCCGTATAGCACTGACACACACAATTCACCACACCAGACAGTCCATGGGGCACACTCGTCCCTCAAGGAAGCTTGTCCTTGATCTGAAATTCAGTCTGAATGGGCAGCTGCCCCAATGGTGCTGGTAGGCAGCTCGGCCAAGGAGCCGGGATGGTGGGAATGAGGCAGAGGACCACACCTCGGAGGGCAGGCCTAGGCGACCCAGACTGGCCAGTCCAACCTTGACCTATGGCCCTCTCAAGGTTACATAATGCCCAGAGTGTGGTGGGGACAGGGCTGTCAACTCCCACCCAGGACCTGAGAGGGCCTGTGGGTCTGAAGGTACTTGGGGCTGGTGTCCTGAGTCACACCCTCAGCCCTGCCAGGACCTCTGTGGGCTGTTCCCACCCTGGGCCTGGGCAGGTGGCCCTGGGTCCCTGTGTCCCTTCAGGTGCAGACGGGGCAGGGCCACCAGTCGGGCGGTGACTGCATGACCGCTGCGGGGCCTACCCTGGTGTACTCTCCAGAGAGGAACCCCTGCTGCAGTCCACTGTACATGGGCAGCAGGGTCAGGAGGCACAGGCGCTTGTCCCTGAAGAGCTTGAAGGTTGACAATAAGGTGGACCCAAGGCGGGGTGGCTTCGTCT